GTGTGGAAGAATGGGCCAAAATCACACCTGAGCATTGCATGCCACTAGTTTCTCCATACAGGAGGCGTCTTGAAGCTGTCATTGCCAACAAAGGCTTTTGTACAAAGTATTAGATAAATTTCAGTAAGCGTGTTAAATACGTTTTCCCTGTGCCATTCCACCTTGGGTTGTTACCAACATCTGGTGAAAATGTCATGTCATTAGCACCTCTAGTAATATATTTACTGAGAAAAATGGTGACATGTTCAATACTTATTTTACCCGCTGTAAATGCGTTAAATGAGTGAAGGAAAATATGAGCACCAAGCAACAACCCTAGGTTCTCCCCTGAGAACCAGACCAAATATTTTATGTGCAACCCTGTATAGAACGTACTACCATTGGTGGGGTCTCCCACTTTGACTGTGGGACCTCTAGTCTTCACACAGTAGAGGTAACCCTGAATATTTTTTAAGGTACTTGGTTCTGGTTTTCCATGTACACTTTGCCTCAAGCATCTTACATTCAAGGAAAGTTTCTTTTTTGCTTGATTCAGTTAGTGCTTAGACAGCTTTGGTTTTTAAGTGTTGGTCAGTGCTTTTAACAGTAGAAACAAGCAAACTGATGTAGTGTCTAACAGTGGGGGGTTGTCTCAGGAATGCACAGATGTGGGGCCCATGAGCCATCCAGCTTCAGAGTTCGGCACATATCACCATATTAGGACAGAAAAATGCTTGAGGTATTCCGTGACAAGATTTATGTACATCTTATGTAAGTTGACAGTTGTAGATCTTATGTACATCTTATGTAAATCTTATGTACTTTATGTACATAAATCTTGTCACGGTATACCTCAAGCGTTCTTCTGTCCTAATATGGTGATATGTGCCGAACTCTGAAGCTGGATGGCTCATGGGCCCCACATCTGTGCATTCCTGAGACAACCCCCCACTGTTAGACACTACACTGATTAAAAATATAAAAAAGAAAAACACATTTGCCTTTGATTAAACTTCATAGAAAAGGACAGCGGATTCAGCAACATGTTGGCTTCAGTACCTTGACTCTGAAGTTTTCATCTACAAGGAACTTGCTGCTGGTGATGCTTCCATGAACTTTACTTTTCTCCTCAGTCAGGTGCAGCCTAGGACACAAAGTCATTCCATTTTTTAAAGGAAACCTTAAAATTTGAATCATTTATTTTAAAATTGGTAAAATACTGAAATTATTTTCAGACGTTCCACAAACAACTTTTTAAAAAGCAGCTAATGACACCATTAACACTTCTAGAAACTTTGAACTTTTATTTTGCCTCTTAAAGGTGGAAATGTTTGGAGACAGTGCCTAGTGGCAATCTGTGATATTGCACTTTAAGGCAGTACTTCAGCTTTAATGCTATTGCTTAGATTTAACTAAACACCTTTTTTTTCTGCTTGGCCTTCAGAGGAGTCGGACACTTTTTGCTCTCTCTCCCAAACCTGTCCCTCTTTCCCTGTTTGCAGCTGGGTCAAGCCTTTCTTCTACCCATCATTCGATAACAAAAGAGTTATGAATTTGGTCAAGTGGTCTCTGAACGCAATCAACAATATTTTTTCCACACTGAGATTGGAGTGAGGGGAGCGCAGCTGTCCGAGTGGAACTGTCGCGGCAGGAAGAGTGTCTGGGTCCTGGGGGTGGAACCTCGTCTGCCTGGCCCCGCTTTCCATCGAGGACTTGAAGATGTGATATTCGGATTTATGATAATTGGATTCCTGCTGATAGGCTGTGGGGGAGTCCTGGTTTATCGTAAAATGAAAACAATCCTGACAGCAGTCCGGGAATGTCAAAAGCTGTCAGAGACCGTGGATGGGATCTCCCGTATTGTAAACGCACGGGAGATATACAGTAAGTCGCAAACTGGATGTGGTTCTGACAAGGATCACAGTTCAGCAGAATATTGGTATTTTTCGCAGCACAGAGGTGCAGTTAAGACTCAAAGCAGTGAAATCAGGCTGCTTGCCCTAAAGAATTATGTTTATCACTGGATCCCTGCAGCTGGTGACTTTGGTCGCAAGCTAACAAAACCTCCCTGGAATTATACGTGAGAGGCGAGGAGGTAAATAAATCTGGAATATTGGCATTTTTCGCAACACAGAGGTGCAGTTAAGACTCAAAGCAGTGAAATCAGGCTGCTTGCCCTAAACAATTATGTTTATCATTGGATCCCTGCAGCTGTGACCTTGGTCGTAGCTGATAAAACCTCCCTGGAATGACAC